CCGACTCGGTGATTGAGGACAAGACCATCGAGCTCAGGGTGAGTGCGGCCCGCTGGCCCGTCTGCTCTTCCGACCGTGTGGCCCCGGGCGGGCCTGCCCAGCTCCGCGTCTGGCGCGAGGCCGGCTCCGGCCCTTCCCCGCCGCCGCGGCCCAGACCTGGGCCCCCGGCCCGCCCTGGCCTCGGGCCCGGCGCGGTTCCTCCCGATCCCTCGAGACTTCAGGCCGGACCTGGCCCGGCCCCTTCCATGCCCCTCGGAGCTCCTCCCTCCCCCTGTCCCGTGTCCTGGCCCAGCTCGGACGACCCTCGCTCGTGTATGCTGAGACTTAGGGCACGCTCGCTCTAGCATCTCACTCTCCCTCTTTTAGCAGGGGATTCCTCCCTCCCCCCTCCCCCCTCCCCCGTATTTCTTCGACCCAGGCCCGCACCGCGCTTGCAAGCCCCACTCGGGCCGAGTGGGGTGGTGGGAAGGGGTCTGGGGGAGATCCGGCAGGGCTTCGGTCTCCGCGTCCTAGAAGGGGTCTCAGCACCCTCTCCCCTACCTAGAGCTGTGCGGATGCCGGGGTAGGCCCTGCGGGGCGGGGGGCAGGGGCTCTCGGGTTGGAGGCTGTGACGGAGAGGGGGCCTCTTTCCCTGGCCCCTGTGGTCCGGCTGCTCGGACAAAGGGTTTCCTACCCGGCGGAGAGGGATGTTTGCATAGCCAGGCTCGGGTACTCCGGGTTCCGTCCCCCAGGAAAGAGAAACCGTAACTTCACGTTTTCCAGAGCTGCTTGGGGAAACTGGGGGTGGAGGGGAAGGCGGTCATCCTCATCACTGCCGCCAGGTCTTTCTTCTCAGGTTGAAAAAACAAAAAGGAGGGGAATCCTTGACCCCCGGGGAAGCGAGCGACCACATAATGTTAGGCCAGGCTCCTCGGTCCACGGACACCCCCATCCCCTTCCGCTTTAGGTTTTGGACCCAGACAGGTTTTTAGAATCGGGACCATGCGTGGCTAGAAGAAGCGAAGCATTTGCTAACTGGGGGATGATTGGTGGAAGACATAAAATATGGCAGGTATTACCTGCCTGAGTGAACATTAGGGAATTCAAACTGGGCTCTGGAGAGTGGGGAGGAGGAATTCTTTGCTTCAGTAAATGGACATGCCCAGGGTTTCTTCCTGTGGAAACCTTGACAGTTTCTTTGTATCTCTCCTGACACAGTAACACCTTCTACCCCTGGGTTGAGAGGAAAGAGGGAAGAATCTACTTAACCCAGCAAAACGTTCTCCTAGCCAGGTTTTCCTCAGTGTGAAAATGTTTATTGAGTCAGTGATTCCACTGGGTAGGGTTGGTGACATCAGAGCCACTTCCCCCATTTAATGCTATAAATAATAAATGGTGACACTGAAAGTCTGTTGGATAGCTGCATGGTTTCTGTGGATGATGGTATCTGGGGAGTTGAGATGCTTGTTTTAAAAATGGAAGTACAGTAGCATAAATACGGAGGCAGCTTAGTGTTTGCTGTCCTCTGCACAATCCTCAGAACTGGACTTCTCCAGCATTCTTGAAAACAAGGAGAAAAAAAAAAACCCTGGTGGTTTTTGATTTGTGTGTGCACGTGTGGTTGTTTTCAAAGGGATAATGTCACATGCTGAGTAATTTTTCCTTTTTAGCATAATTTATCAATCTTGTAGTCAAGTGTTTGATATACTCCTACTTTTATAGTGGGATATTTTGGTAAATATCTTAATTGGAATTACATACATTACAGATTCTTAAGGATGTATTATGTGTTTAGAGCAGGAGTACTTCATATCGAAAATAACTTGGTAGGTGGCTCTTTGAAATTGGCTTTTCCAACTCCTTACATTTTTACTCCTAAAAAGAAAAACTAACTAAAATGTCTTTATTTTCAAAAGAATTAGAAGAAATACATTGTAACCCAAGTCAGTATCTTTGAGTGTATGGTTAAAAAAAAAATCTTTGGCCTAGATTTACTAGGTTCCTATGTTTACTTAAAAAGTTTTGATTTTACACAATAATACTTGCCTCTGATCTGAAAAGAGATTTCAGCCTTTTAAGGACATTATAAACTGAGATTCTTAGAAAATTTAACAAAAAGTTTAGATATGTTATGATTAATTTTTAAATGACTTTTTCTTTGAGGATTTTTATATTCTTTGAAAGGGATATGAGTTAAGACTCTTAGACAGCCCTTTTCAAAAACATTCAGTATGCGTTTTTATTTCAATATAGTAGATAGCACAGGGACTTAACAACTGACTGAGTAAATCCAGGATCAAAAGTAGGAATGATAATGCCTTAAAATCTATTTGCATGTGACTTTTTGTATTCACTGCATTTGAGTTATAGTTTCTAGAACTAGGATAACCATACTTTTTACATTTGGTTTCAAAATAACATGATTGAAAGGAGGGGAAGGGGTTAGAATGATGATATTTTGAAAGCCTAAAGCATGAAATAATTTTCAATTTTTATGAATCAGCTTCAATACTCAAAAATTTGTGATTGTGTGGCTTGTATCTGTTTGGTATTTCATGGCTAACAAGATAACTTCCATTTGCTATGCCAGAGTATGCTGTATTAAAAAGAGGAAACTGACTTTTTGGTTGTATCCATTTTAAAAGCTTCGTCCCTCTTTGTTTCCTTGATTTTGATTTTTTTTCCTTGCATTTTTGATAAACTTACTAGAAATAAAACTGGTGATGGCAGAATAATTACATCTCCACAGTATGATCACTTCCCCCCCCTTTACCCCCGCCTGAGCCCTTGGTCCACTGACCTGATGCATGGGATCCAGACTTTAATATTATTAAAGTCTGTAGGCTCTTAATTGAGACAACTGAATTTACAGTTAATCATGGTTAATAATTTAACCACCAGTTGACTTTCATGGCCTTCTATTGACCCAATGCTCTACCTAGTTGGTGAGCCTGTTTTTCAGACTTCTGACTTTGGTAAAATCGGCCTTATTATGAATGAGATAGAAAAGTTAGTAATTCATTTTGGAAATGCATAAAGTTCACCAGGCTATGTTTAGTTCCGTGGGATGAGAGCAGTGTATTGTGTATCACATGGTATTTATTAACCCCTGAGTTAGGAATATGAGTTGATATTCAAGTACTCATCATGAAAAAGCACTCACAAGAGCTGCTATTTGGAAGAGAAACATTACCTTCCAAATAGCAGGTTAGGTTACCTTATTAGGAGATAGCAGAATTGATGTTAAAAGTTTAAGAAAGATAATCCTGCTCCTCCATAGGAGGATAATCCTGCTCCTCTTCTTCCCTTTACACGATTACCGGACAGTTTATGTTCTATTAGTTAGTTGTTAAATGATTCTTCCCTTTGCTGAGTGACCATAAGTGAGTCATTTCCCTTCTGTTTTATCTCGTAAGTGGTCATTGTTACTTGTTGAGTGAAGTAATATAGGTTAAAATACATTGATCCTTATTAAGAAAGTGTGGCACAGGCATGGTGGCGTACATTTGTAATCTCAGTGCTTTGGGATGCTAGGGTGGGAAGATCATTTAAAGCCAGGAGTTTGAAACCACCCTGGGCAATATAGTGAGACCCCATGTCAACAACAACAACAAAATTAGACGGGTGTGGTCCCAGCTACTTGGGAGGCTGAGGCGGGAAGATAGTTTGAGCCTAGAGGTCAAGGCTACAGTGAGCTATGATCCTGCCACTGCACTCCAGCTTGGGTGACAGAGATCCTGCCTCAATAGCAACAATGGCGACAAAAAAAGAAGATATGATATAAATGCTGTTTGCTGAGCTATTAAAAGAAACTGATAAGTGAAGTTATTGGAAATGTTCTTTTTTCTTTTTGGGTAATTATTTTTCCTTCCTATCATTAACTTTTTAAGTGGGGTAAAATGGGATTGTTTAGTGACTGTATCAAGAAATTGGATCTCAAAAAAAAAAAAATAAAGAAAAAAGAAATTGGATCTTACTGTGTCGCCATCTTTTATTCCCATGTACCTCTAGGGGTGGGCTCACTTACCAAACAGACTAAATCGACACAGTTCAGTAGAGTGCAAATGAATAAATCTATCTGTCTGCCTGTCTGTCTAACCTGCCTAAAGAGGTTGTAGCTTAAATATATCAATTTTTGCCCCTTATGTTTAGAAGGTTGGATGTCTTTTCAGATTCGACAAGGATAAACATGTCCCAGCATGCAGATCTGGCACTCTCAGCTCCTGACTGCTGTAGTCTATGTCCTGCAAACTGAGGGAGCTAGCCCAGAAGGATTACCGGGCCTTTACGTAGATCCACAGAACAACACATAGAGAGCCCTCTGAAAATGTTTGAGCCTGTGAATTCTAGAAACAAAGTTTTCTGCTCTGTAAGATCTCTGGGGTCCTGGGTTCGGCCTTGTGATAATTGCACTTCATGGGAAAGAAAGATTTCAAGTCCTGGCAATTCTAGTTCCAGTCTCCCTTCAGACTCCATTCTCCCTTGTGACTTTTCCTTCTCTTCCTCACTTATTCTGTATCCTAAACAGAGCATGGGTGACCGTGGTCCTCCAGGTTCTGCTCACACTCTTTCCTTTGTCAGCTCTGATAGGAATTGACCCCAGCCCATTTACTGATGGCTACTGATATTTACTGAAAGGATCTAATCGTTTGTTTTCTGGCCACATTGGCTTAGGTCACACATCTCCCAAATCTTCTGCCTATGCTCAAGAAGTCTTATCCACCTTCAAGACAGAATCATTGTTAAATGAAATGAACGAATTCTGGCACTTTGTTTTTATCTTGTAGCACTTAACATTCTCTAAGCTTGTATTGTGGTTACTAGTTTGTGTCCCCTATTAAATGGGAGGAGATGGAAAATTATTTATCTTCCTCTGATGCACAGCTCCTTTATACACACAATGCCTTCTTTGTAGTAGGTGTTCAGTAAATGTTGAGTTAAATTTTTCTGGTGATCATTTTTATACATTATTGCTATCTGCTTGTACCTTAACCATCCTCTTTTCTGGAAATCTCCACCTACATTACTAATTCTCAGAATATTCAGTTCCTCACTTTTATGGGACTTATCATACCTTCCTATGCATTGTGAAGACTTGTGGTCGTGTCTGAACTCTCCTTCCAGGCCCTTTTGTTCCTTTACAGTACCCAGCATGTGGGTGTTCAATAGATTAATGTTAAGTTTTCTTTTTTCATGCTGTGAAACCTTTTACGATTTCCTTTCAATAACCTCAAGACAAAGGTAGAGATGAGTAGAGGAGAAAGACTGGTGAGAGGGCAGATGTGGGTGGCGGGTGGCACACAGCATATCCATATACGTTTTAACTATTACTTACAGACTTGTCCACACAAGCAGATGGATTTACGTATGTCCCAGAGAGCAGTTGTTAGCAAAGAATCGAGGAAACCAAATTCCTTTTATATCTGCTGATGTGGATTTGCCAAACAGTTGATAAGCTCTAAGGGTTCTGTGATCTGAGAAAAGCGTGATTTAGCAGAAAGGGCATGGGTTTTAGAATGGAACGCCTGCATTGGTACCCAGTTCTGTCACTTGCTAGCTAGCTGTGTGACCTTAAGAAAGGCAGCCTTGCTGGGCTCGGTGGCTAAGCCTGTAATCCTGTGCCTTTGGGAGACTGAGGTGAGTGGATTGCCTGAGCCCGCGGGTTCGAGACCTGCCTGGGCAGCGAGACCTCATCTCTACAATAAATCAAAAATCAGCCGGGCATGGTAGCACGCACCTGTAATTCTGGCTACTCGGAAGGCTGAGGTGGGAGCGGCCACTGCACTCCAGTCTGGGCGACGGAGTGAAACTCTAACTAAAAAAAAAAATAAATAAAAAAAAAGGAAAGGCAGCCTTTCTGTGGTTTAATTTTACTATCTGTAAAAATAAGAAAACTTGAGTATTGTTGCTGGAAGAATTACATGAGAAATGTGAGTGGAAGCCTTTGCGGAGGCCTGCTTTTCTTCAAATGCTGGCTGGACCACATTTCTGTAAAGCACAGGGACCCATACTTTGCAAAGTCAAGACAAATGGTGCAGAAAGGTTTAGCTTTTTCCCCCGAGTTGTGCATGCATTTATTTGTGAAGCTTTACAGAGGCCTAACCAACATTAGTTGCTTTTAGCCATACATTTAATTAGTCATCTTTGGGGGGAAACAGTGAAATCATGGAGACATCAGTACTGTCTCGGAAAATCTGGGAAGTACTATTATAATGACTGAGAACTACCAATTTGGCATAATTAGACCTGTGCTCCTACTCGAGAGATAACCCACCCAGCTGTTTTGGATCTCTGGTGAAAGAGGCTGGTGATTAGCTTATATTAACTTTGAGTGTTGGGGTTTAGTTTATGTTTGGTTTAGTTTAGACTGGCAGATTGTGATTTTTGAATTCTTACTCTTATCACCAGCAAAGCTGATGATTTTGACCTTAATAGAATAAGCAGTGAATATCCACACAAGATTTCCTTCTGAGTTATATTGTTCATTGAATTAGTTGACAATGGGGGGAAAAACCTGAAACCTGTTGGTCAAGAATGTGCTTGTCAAGCTCTGCTAAGTTTCCACTGATCACAATTGCTTAACAGGAAGTTTGTCTTTGTACGCAAATGAAGGACAGACCAGGAAGACCTGACAATCCAGTAGGGTGTCTCTAACCTGGATCTTACTGTTTTAACGAAACTAAAAGATTGCAGAGTTCTGTGATGTCAGCAGGAAGCATTTTTAGGCAACTCTTTTAGGGTTAGTCCACAATGAACAGATCTCACAGAATGTGAAGTTGAACCCTGGGACATTAACATGAAATAATGAATGTAGGAAGCCATTCTCTAGTAAAGAGCCTCTGATCCACAGAAGAAAAAGAAAGATTAAGTGAGGGCTCTATTACTGAGAAAAAGGAACTAGAGTAATTTTTAATTTTTTTTTTTTTTTTGAGTTGGAGTCTTACTCTGTCGCCAGACTGGAGTGCAGTGGCCGCTCCCGGCCACCGCAGCCTCGACCTGCTGGGCTCCGGCAATCCTTCCGCCTCAGCCTTCCGAGTAGCTGGAATTATAGGTGTGCGCCACTACGCCCGGCTAATTTTTTGATTTATTGTAGAAATGAGGTCTTGCCAAGTTGCCTGGGTGGGTCTTGAACCCTTGGGCTCGGGCAATCCACTCACCTTGGCCTCCCAAAGCGCTGGGATTACAGGCTGAGCCACCAAGCCCGGCAGTAATTTTTAATTTTTTAAAAGAGTTAACTTGAGAACACTTAACCAGTTTTAAGAACTAATAATAGTGGTGGTCACACCTATAATCCCAGCACTTTGGGAGGCTGAAGTGGGAGGATTGCTTGATCCCAGGAGTTCAACACCAGCCTAGGTAACATAGTGAGACCTTGTCTCTACAAAAAATGGAAAAATTAGCTGGACATGGTGGTACACACCTGTAGTCCCAGCTACTTGGGAGGCTGAGGTGAAAGGATTGCCTGAGCTCCAGAGGTTGAGGCTACAGTGAGCTGTGATTATATCATTACACTCCAGCCTGGGCAACAGATCTAAAAAACCCAAAAAACAAAAAATGAACTAATAATAAAATATATTTTGGTTTTCTGAAAAGACTACTTGAAAGATTGAGAGAGAAAGAGGACAGAGGACAGGAAAAAAGATCTGATACTCTAGTTTGGCATCTGTTAATCTTTGTATCTCTAGCATAAGGCCTGCCAGCAATTAGGCATTCAAGAAACATTTATTTTGAAAGGATGAAAAATGACTCATTAGTACAGAGAAAATTCAAGAGGTCCAGAAATAAGTCTGCTAGTCAAATTGTTGTGATTATATTTTGCTCTAACTTGTTCTGTATTTTGGATATAACAGCAAGTTATACTTTGAAAAGTGTATTGCTTTAGCAGTTAGCTACCTTTATCAAAACTGGGTTTCCAGTTTATGCTTAGATTTGAGAGTGATATCACTTAATGGGAAAAATTCATACATTTATTATTTGCTTGAAATTTTACTTACATGATCTCTTATAGGTTGTGTTATTTCCATCTGATTGTTATGGTGAGGCTAATCATAGACTGTTATTTCAGTCACTTTGATTGCTTTGCCTACAGTGTGAAAAATGAGAACAGCTTTAAGTCATTGCCTGTGGACTGTTAACAACTCTTGGAATGTGAGAATTACTTGGGTTCCAGTGGATTTGTGATTTTTTTGGTCACAGACACAATCTTTGCTGTTAAACACAAAGACTGCTTGAGCACCATTATAGTGTGTTTTGTTTTGACATTACTGTTGTGAGCCTTAGGATTGCATAGCTCTTTGTTAATGAAATGCTTTTTAAAGTGGCAAGATACAGGGAGTTAGCCCTTTCAGGAAGGCTCCACTGGTTCAACTAGACAGAAATACATACTTTTCTGTATTTTTGTAGTTCTCCATTCCGATTTGAATTAAATTAGGACCTTTGATAATAAAGCTTGGCTTCTTTCCTAGCCCAGAAGTCATAGACTTTCTGATCCTTGGCCTTGGGAGGCAGCAGCACTCTGTGAAAAGGGCATGGGTTCTGCCACCTAGTATATGTGGGACTTGGGACAAGTCACTTCTTTCTGCTCATTATTTTTGAGACTTAAATATGGGTAATTAATGGAAAGGGCTTGGCCTACTAGTAACTCTTCATAAAGGTGGGTATTGTAGTTACTGCAGGAGTATTTTGGCAGTAGTGTAGCAATTGAGAAAGTAGCAGATAAATGTGCCAGTAAGTTCAAAGTCTTTTTTATCTTTGTCCTCCTGTTGAATACCTTTTTCGCTCTTCCTTTTAGTTTGTTTAGAATTTGCAGTTTAATTTATTATGGTAGAAAAAGAATGTTGATGTAATATAGATTGGGCTTAATATTTAAAGGTGCCATCTAGTATATTGTTTATTAGTGTTCTTTATGATTTTTCTCCTATTTCCCCAGTGACTGGCCATTGTGGGGGATTGGCGTTTATTGAATCAGAAATTCACTCTTAAATTATTTATTTTAAAATGTCCTATATTTCAGCTACAGGCTAAGGTTTTGGGTAATGTGTAGATATGATGTCTTCTATGTAGCAAACCAAAAGATTTCTTCATTAGGTGCTTAAATAAATATCTTTATTGGGAGATATTTGAGCCCTCCCATATCATTATTTTTGGCTGACAGACTATTTTTGTAATGGTGGAGGAGCTGTCTTAGTGGATAAAGGTATATAGCTGAACGGTTTGGGACAGTTTATGTGGAAGACAGAGTAAGTTTGTAACTGCTCTTATTTGGAATCTGCATGCCATTAGCATGAGTAACTATTGATATCAGGGATGTTTCGGGATTTGCCGTGTAGAACTCTGCATCCTTCTCTCAACACTGAGGTGAGGGATCCTGCCATAGACCTTTTATTCCAAATAGCTGATCAGGGGTTGTCACTTTCTTCTGTGCCTCAGATCCGCCACTCCGTTGCCCCCCTTCCGCTTCTAGTGGCTGTCCTTTGCCGCTGGTGCCATGGTGGGTGTATGGATTGCTTTCTGTCTTTCAACAGTTACCGAAGTGCATGTTTGGGATTTTGTTGAAGAAAACTGGATACAGTAAACGGAAAGAATCTTGGAAGCTGCTTGACTGCTGTCTGTTCTCAGACTAGTCTGAAAGGGAATACCCCCATTCATTCTGGATTGGTGGATCTGAAGTACAAAATATTTCCCAGGTAAGCAATTACCCTGTATTGTTTTGTTTTGTGGAACTCACTGAAAAATTTTTGAAAAATATTTTTCTTCATCTGTTTGTCCATTAATAGGAAAAGGAAGAAATATTAGACATTTATGCTTAGTGTCTGGGTGAGGATCCTGAAGGTACATGTGGCTGGATTGCTAGTAGAAACTTTGTTTCTGAGGAGGAAGTACAGTTATGTTTATCATAGGCCCATATAGTTTTTAGTCATAATCTAACAGGGAACTCAGTAAACAGGGACATTTTGTTTGGAGAATAGTTTGTAAAAAAAATATGGAAACAAGTGGGCTCGGTGGCTCAGCCTGTAATCCTGTGCTTTGGGAGGCTGAGGTGAGTGGATTGCCTGAGCCCATGGGTTCGAGACCCTCCTGGGCAACTTGGCGAGACCTCATCTCTACAATAAATCAAAAAACTAGCCGGGTGGTAGTGTGCGCCTGTACTTCCAGCTTCTTGGAAGGTTGAGGCGGAAGGATCGCTGGAGCCCAGTGGGTCGAGGCTGTGGTGGCTGGGAGTGGCCACTGCACTCTAGTCTGGGTGACAGAGTGAGACTCCGACTCAAAAAAAAAAAAAAAAAAAATGGAAACCATATGGTAGTTTTGAGGCATTATCTCACATGACTTATTGTTAATACCTGGTCAAAATATTTTCTGTAGTTTCATGTCAGGTGATAGTCTTTTATTCTTAGGACTCCTGGAGGGCCTTCTTGGGAAGGCTTTCTAGCAGTGGCAGTCACTTGTTGAGAGCATCTGCTGAGTACACCGCCTCTTCATATGCCTTCGCACACATTTCTGGTTTCATTGGCATGTTGTTGCACCTGTGCTTCACAGTCGAGGAGCGGGAGCTCCTAGGCATGGAGTGCGAGCTGCTCAGGCCATCAGCTAGTAACTGGCAGAGCTGTGCTGTGTGCTCCCAAGGCTCATGCTCTGTTTTATGGCATTTGCTGAAGGTAGTATTTCAGCTTCGAGGTTTTCAAATTGCCTTTCTGGAGAGGAAGGTGTGATTTTTCTACAGCAGGTTTCCACTCGAAGAACACATGCTGGCTCATTGTTTAGTATGATATTTTAGTCATTTAAATCGTTTAATATAGTGCTCTACTTGCTTACTGATAAATCAGAAACTCTTCATTTCCTTAAGTGAATATAAAGGTAGTTTAGGGAGTATAGGAGAGGCAGTGTATTTAAATGTCAAAATAGGTTTTATACAGGGAAATATCATTTGGTCCAGTGAACTCAAACCTGTATCCTCTCAATTCCTCTTTAGAATTTGTTGGTTTTTTAAATAGCTCAGTAGCTCACTGTATGGACTGCTTTTGACTTGGGGTTTGTCAGCCTTACACGTAAGACATTGTCTGACCACTCTCTTGAAAACATGACTTTTTTTGGTATTTAATATTCTCTTCAGATTACCCATTCTTTCGTCTTTAAAAAATTTCTTTTTATCATAGACTGACCCTCTGAATTTGTGATCCTTGTTTTAGTTTAATTCTTTTCCATTTGCTCATATTTCTCCTCTGTGAGCATTTTTCACACTTGTTATTTGAAGGGCTGATAGGATGGTGGTGGTGGTAGTACTGGTAGAAATAATGGCACTTGGATAGGCTTGGTGGCTCAGCCTCTAATCCCAGCGCTTTCGGAGCCCGAGGTGAGTGGATTGTCTGAACCTGTGGGTTCAAGACCCGCCCGGGCAACTTGATGAGCCCTCATCTCTACAATAAATAAAAAAAATTAGCCGGGCATGGTAGTGCGCACCTGTAGTTCCAGCTACTTGGAAGACTGAGGCGGAAGGATTGCCAGAGCCCAGCAGGTTGAGGCTGCGGTGGCCGGGAGCGTGCCACTGCACTCCAGTCTGGGCGACGGAGTGAGACTTCAACTCAAAGAAAAAAAAAAAGAAATAATGGCACTTACTCTTTAATGAGCATGATTCTAGGTACTTTATATGTATAAACTCATTTTAGCCTTATGCAGGCTGAGTATCCCTTACCCGAAATGCTTGGGACCAGAAGTATTTTGAATTTCAGGTTTTTTTTTTTGATTTTGGAATATTTGCAACATACCAGTTCAGCATCCCAAATCTGAAAATCTGATATCTGAAATGCTTCAGTGAGTATTTCCTTTGGGTTTCATGTCCATACACAAAAAGTTTTGCATTTGAGAAGATTTCAGATTGCATATTTTTAGATTAGGGATACTCAACTTATAGTGACCTGTTGAGATAGGTACCATTATTTTCACTTTGCTGGTGAGAAAACTGAAGGGGAGTGTAGTTAGAGAACATGCTCAAGGTCACACACTTGTAAGATATGAAACCAGGCAGTCTGGCTTCAGAGAATGTGCTTCTAACCTCTGTGCTGTCTACCTCTAGTTTAGATTATCATTCAATAATAGAGGGGCAGAAATCCTGAAGACTAAAAATGTATATTCTGATTTCAAGGAATTGTTGCAAAAGGAAAGGAAACAGTTGTTGATTTTATATTTCTTAGCTTCTTTAGAAAACTATCTAGCTCTCAGGTTCTGCATTAGCCATCAGAGCTATTCTTCAGTTTGTTTCCCCAGGCAACTTGCAATAGGTTGGTTTGAGGTTATCTTTCGGAACAGTACTGTTTGATAGAACTTTTTGTAGTGGTTGAATTGTTCTGTGTTTGCACTGTTCAATATGGTAGCCGCTAGCCACATGTGGATATTTTGAAATATAGCTCTGCAACTAAATAACTGAATTTTTAATCTCGCTTCATTTTAATTAAATTTATTTTTAAATAGCTACATGTGCAGTTTTAGGATTTGCCATCATCCTAGGTCTGGTCCTTGGTTTAACACCCACAGAAATGTTACCTGCTCAGTATACCCAAAGCATCTCCTTATCCCAGGGTTGGACTAACATTAACCAGGCTTACAAGACTGATATGTAAAACCAGAGTTTTAATTTATTAGTTTACAATGATATATGTGTATCAACATGATTAGCGTATTCTTTTCTGATAGGCAGATTTACTAACTACATCCTAATTAATATGCTAGTTTAATTTTTTCAAACAAGACACAAGAATCAGAAGGACTCGAAGGCTTAAGCCAAATGACTGGGATGTTTTCTTCATGTAGATAGACTTCACCTCCCAGGTCAGACTGTGGACTCACCAGGGAAATGAGATATCCAAGCACTGGACCTGAGAGTCCACCTCATTCAGTGGTGATGGTTTCTCTGTGGCAAAACCACTCCTTTATCTGCTCGGCTTGCTTTTGCTTCCCAGATCCTTTTCTGATTAAGACATTCGTTTTAGACACATTGGTACATTCAGCTAGAACGAGCTGTTGACAAAGGTCTGGAAAGCCTTTTGTTTTCCTTAAGTTTTCTTCATCACTGTTGTAAATTATTTTGTGTTCATTTTCAACTCTAAGAAGACAGTTGACTTTTCCTTTCTTCCCTATGACCTCTTTCTACCAAAACACACATATTAACTTACTTAATTTGGTCATCCAGTGTGTTGTAGAATAGGAACATATTCATAAGAATGTATACCTTATGGTGCTGGGTATGGTGGCTCACGCCTGTAATCCTAGCACTTTGGGAGGCGGAGGTGAGAGGATAGTCTGAACTCAGGAGTTTGAACCCAGCCTGAGCAACATGACAAGATCTTGTCTCTGCAGTAAATCAAAAAATTAGCCAGGTGTGGTGGTGATGCCTGTGGTTCTAGCTACTTGGAAGGCTGAGGCCGAAGAATCACCTGAGCATAGCAGGTTGAGGCTGCGGTGGCCATGAGTATGCACTCCAGCCTGAGTGACAGAGTGAGACTGACTCAAAAAAAAAAAAAAAAAAAAGAATATATACCTGATAGTACATTCTCTTTACATTACATTATGCTGTCAAGTGGAGCTCGTTTATAGCTGACTATACCATTACTTTGGGACTTGTTCTTCTACTTGTGTACTTGAAGTAGAAAAAGTAACAGAACCAAATTCGTATTTTATGAAGTTAATTTTGGCATGTGTGTGCAAGATGAATGGAAAAGACTGGCGCTAGAGAGACCAGTTAGTCCAAGTGAGCAGTGATGAAGGTGGACCAAAGCATTGACAGCGGGGATGATGGGGTGAGGTGAAATTGAAGGGGATGGGTGGAGGGATCTGCAGGATTTGAGTACTGGTTATAGTAGCAGGGGAGAGAAGGGATATAGTACGAACTTTAGATTTTTTTTGCCGCGGGCACCTGGATGAATGTTTGTTTTCTTCTCCAAGATGGGGAATACTAGAAGGAAAGCAGACGGGAGGAGGGGAAAGAATGAGTTCAGTTGGAATTATAGTGAATTTGAGTTGCTTGTGGCAGAATTGTCTAAGAGAAGTATCAGTAGCAGTATTGGCTTGCAGCTCATCAGGGAGGGCAGGGTTAGAGAGAAAACATGGGAGAGGTTTTAGCCCTACCTGTAGCTGACTTAGTACAGTGATGTGGTAACTCAGATCGGAAAGCCTATATATTGGTGTATGGGAATGGCAGCGTAAAGACATGGGCTACAGCTATAAGGCCAGACCTAGGATCATATGTGATATTGACCAGGAGGTGCTAATACCACTTTCTTCTTGTCATCTTGACCTGGGAATTTTGTTATGACCAGCTACTACTTACACCCAGTCATCAAATGAGTCTCTTGCATTTGGGTTGTGATTTTCTCTTCCATTGTAATAGTTTGTGTAATTAACAGAGGCACTGCTTTTGAAATGTGGTTTTAACAACACGTCTTAAGTAAACATTTACACAAATTCAGTTTTATGCAACTGGTGGCAGAAACAAAAGGAAAGGACCTAAACAGCGAAGATTCTGGATGCAGCATGAAATGGGAAATGAAAATCTGCTCTTCTCTCAGCCTGTCTCCGTTCCTGAATGCCTTTTATCTAGCTGTGACAAGTGCGATTATGGTATTTTAAAGACACATTTTTAACATCACAACATGAGGCCTAAATACAAGCCAGTTATTTTATCTGCTAGTCAGTT